TCGGGAAAAATCGGGAAAATAAAACTTATATATTTTAAGGTTATTATGACCCCTAAAGCTATAACCTATAGTTTATAACCAATGACCTGTAGAATGTACCCACGGGTACTGTACCCAAGCCTTCCAGGTATTTATTTGATTAACATTATTTAGTAGTGATAAAGTATTACCTATTGTAGTGGCAGGAATTAGTATATCATTTAAAATTAATAATATATTTTTATTTTATATTTTGCTATTAATTAATCATATTTAAATACGTTTTAAATGGCTAACAACCATTTTCATCATAATATTTGGCTATATTGTTAATAAAAATATATTAAATAATACTTATATCACATATTTAAAAATTTATAGTCATATTTGAGTGCATATTTGACCATTTTTAGTGCATTTTATATTACATATTTTACTGCTTATAAATGCATATATTTCTATGCTTTAATAATCATTGTACGTAATGGTGACGCAGGAGATGTGAATTCGATGTAGAATTTGACTTTGATTTTGACTTAAAAATTGAAAATATTCTATCATGAATATTTTTCGTGTTAGTCAAGATTTAACATTTTAAAGTCTAATGATTTTAATACGATAGATGCAATTTTAAATCTGATTTAATAGACTTAAACAACGTTAAAATCTACAGCGAATTCATATATCATATCAATATATTTAATCAATTTAAAGTTTTTGACAAAAATATTTCTAAGTCGAATAACTCGACAATTATTCAAGATGGATATTTACAAATGCTATTTTCGAACTCAGCGTCTAATTCTACATAAGATTATAGTGTCTTTAGAAGACAGCTCTAAATGTCTATTACAGAGTAATTATAATTATTGTACGTAATGGTGACATAGGAGACGACAGAGACGTCAGATGCAATTGCATTGTGTTGTATTGTGTTCCCCCACGTTTGGCCCCCAAAACGCGAACGCTAAAATACTGAATGGTGATGAATGCAAATAACGGTAATATAGAGCCCATTGAAAGCCCATTGAAAGCCCATTGAAAGCCCATTGAAAGCCCATTGAATGCAATCACGTTTGTTAGCGAAGACAGCGTTTAAGGTCTGTATTATAATTAGTGTAGCCATCGATTAGAGCACATGTTTTATGCCATATATTTGTTGAACATTCAGTCTATTTAGTGATATCTTAAGTCCGAGAGAGCGAGAGATTATTACAAATCGTTTGATTGCTTGAGTGTAGAGATGTTTTCCCAATACCTGTCGCGCCGACAACCGGTGCCCTCAAAGAGCACACCGGCGAGGGATAGGTCGCCACTACGAGAGCAGCAAAGCCACGGGTCGGCTATACCGGCCACAAATAGGGCGACATTAGATACGGAACCAATGGTAAGCGCAACAGAATCTGAGCTCTGGAAGCAAACGCAGGCCTTAGCGCTGGAGAGAGAGCAGCGATTGGTATCGGAGCGCAAATTCGGGGCCATAATACGCGATTTGACCACTAAAGTGGATGAGACCGGTAAACAATTGGCCGCTGAGCGCCACCTTTGCCAACAACGGGCGCAATACATCCGGACGTTGGCCGCCAAGAGAGACAAGGCGTGCGCCGACAGGTCTGATATTAACGCCAAACTGGTGGCCGCCGACAGGTCTAGGGATGTGTTTGAGCACAAGTATAACGAGCTGAAGAGGACGGCCGACAACGAGTTGGATAATGAGCGCAAACGTGCCGAACATCTCGCGCAACAGATGGTGGCCCTCGCCGTCGAGAAAGACAATGCATTAAAGGCTGTGCGCAATGAATATAACGTCAAACTCGTGGCCGCGGAGACCGCTAGGGCTCAGCTCCAGGATATGTACAGAACATCTGTCGACAAGTATAATGAGCTGAAGGTTAGCTCCGGCGGGGAACTGATGGCCAGTCGCCAGCGCGTGGCCCAACTCGAGGCCCAACAGAAGCCGATGGATACTGAGTTCGCGGCACTCATGCGACGGAAGAAACACTATAAGGAAGAGTCGGAAATGTGTGTAAGTATCGCATCGTTAAGACTATTATCATTACAAACTGAATGAGTGGTCAATTAAACTGTGTTTTAATGTATTTTAATCTATTTTAATCATGTGTTTTGATTACACCTCCAGAAAGCGCTACTTAATCGACTGAAGTATGTCCTCAAACAACGACACAATTGGCACTTATATACTGACAATCGTATGGCGAAAGCCGTCCAACACAACGGCCAGGCAATGATCGACGCGATCGAGTCGGCGGTGTTGGAGGTGTTGGCCCACAAGCGTCAGGACTGGCGCGCAGAGAGCGAAGTGATCGCCGCCGACGGCTCGCGACAAAAGTGCGCTCAGAATGAGATCATCGATCGCAACGCCGACCGTATGCTCGCAAAGCCGGGCCAAAAAAGTATGTATTTTTTAAACCACATTTCACTATAGAAATTGTTGATTATAGGACAACACCCTCTACCCCCTCCCAACCCCCACCTTATTATTATACTATATTAACTATGTTTTATTTTTTTGTGCCAGTCCTGTGCCCGCAGTGTCCAAAATCATATGCCTTTAATAGTTGGCATTGTCTGGCAAAACACGTGGCCGCCCGACACCCGTTCCCAACACAGGCCACCACTGGCCTACCCATCGATACCAGCGCTTCCACCTCTTCGTCGGTTGTGTCCAACACTTATGGCTCAACTCCCGGTCCGTCGACCCGATCGCAGACCTTTAATACTTATCAATGAATTAAATCACATAAAGTTAAGTGTTGTTTGAATTTGGGAATGGATTGACGTTAAGGCAGAAAAACAATGAAAATTAATTACCATTTTATTCGACAATTGTTTGATTGATAGACAAATATTTTTGCATTCAATGCTTCACATAAAACACTATTGATTTGATTTATAAAACAAACATTTCTTTATCTATTATTTCACAAAAACTCTTCATTTTAAACAACGAAACACTTAATTTTTAGCACATTTTTAATCGCAAATAATTTTATAAATTGTAATACAAAATCACTAAAAAGTTAAATCATTTTAAAATAAAACATATTATATAAAAATACACTACACTATAGAATCTATAGTATAGATCAAAACCTTTCTGTATTTTGTTAAACTTTATGCTACAAAACATTTTCCTTTTATCGTTTCTGTATTTTTTATAAATATATTAAAATTATTATTAAAAATAATTGTGTTTTAATTGTTGTTTGAGTTTTGATCTCAAATATTTGCGTCAAATTCAATGCTTTAAATGCAAACATTTGTATTATTTTATTCTTATTTTTTCAATTAATTAATTGTTTAATTGGCGGACGTTTTCCCTCAGAGTTAGTGTTAATGAGTGAATCGTTGATTAAATGCAAACAATTAACACATTTAACATTCATGTGAATCGGTTGTGAGACTAATGACACTTTTTACGCAAATATTGCCAATAATTTACTAAAATTGAAATTTTTGTGCATTCGTTGTAAGAATTTCACAGCAAATATATTGAATTCGTTGTCATCATTGTATAAAATACAGACCATTAGACTCTATGGCGACGAAAACTACTCCGAAGTGAATGTCAAACCTCTCAACGATTGGAAATCACCAAAAATTATTAGCGTTTATATTAATCACAAAAATATATTTATTGAAAACTAATTGCAATATTTATTTTAATAGTAAATTGTAATAAATTTTATGAATAGTTAGCATTCATTTATTGTATTAGATTTAAAGCTTTTTTACAAAACTTTTGTATAGAAAATTATCTCAGTTTATAATGAATTTGTCACAAATTACAAAAAAAACTAATTTTTATTGACAAATATTGACAACAATTTACCAAAACTTCAATACTTTTATTTTAATGGCAATAATGTGTTGAATAAAAGTGATGACAACTATTCAGAGACCGAATCTATTGACAAATGGTAGCGAAAACTTCACACAAACTGTTCCCAAGAATTTCAATATTAATTGATAATTAATTGAGATAATGATAATTGATAAATATAATTGAGAATTAATAAAACATTCAATTATTTATACATTTATACCTTTCATTTTTATCATAATGTAATTTAAATTTAAATTTATGAATTTTATTTTTATAACCGACGATAATATTTGTGAGAATTATATTTTTGTAATTAATTATAAGATTTAATTATGTTTTAAAGTCAACCAATTTATTTATATATTTGTAAAATGCAATTATTGTTTAACACACAATTGATTAATATTTTGATAATTAAAACAATCAAAAAGTTTTTAATAAACAAATTAATGTCTAAAAATTAGATTGTGAAGTTTTATTTAACATTAATATTAAAATACCGTACATTTCAAGTGTTTTTAGTTATAATTAGTATTAAAAATAGGGTCCAAAAGAGGGCGACATTTGTCTCATGACTATTGAATCACTGATTAATAGAGTATTGTTTGCATTGAATTCAATGTGTTTTTGAGTTGCGATTAAATCAACGCTTATTTTGCGTGCATTTGATATTCAATGAGTAGTGAATTCAGTGTTGACTCGAATGGTGTGAACCAAGTGTTGGACAATCGATATGAAGGGTAACGACGAGTCGATGGCCACCGAAGACAACGACAGCCAAACCACACATCAAATCAATCAAATGTTACGACAATTGAAAGCAATCAACACTTTGTGCCAAAAGTTACGCACATTTCAGTCTATTTTCAATACAAATTCTAATGTTTTGTTTGAATCGTTTGATTGTGAAAATGATTTGAATTTAAATATCAATCAAACTATTATTGATTGCAATTCATTGAAAATCAGTGAAACTTTGCGTTTAAATCACGAAACTATTAATAATAAGAAATTCCACTGTTTTTGGCCTAAATGTGATTATAAGACAAAAGATAAAAGAGATTTAAATAGACATCAATTAATTCATTCAAATATAAGACAATTTAAATGTGATTTCAATGATTGTAATCAAAGCTTTAAACGGAAATCATATTTAATTCAACACAAAAAATGCGTTCATTTGAAAGAAAAATCATTCAAATGTAATGAAGAAAACTGTGGCAAAAGTTTTGGTTACAAATCAGCTCTCAGTCAACATAAACGCATACATTCGGGAGAAAAACCACATGTTTGCGATTTCAATAGTTGTAACAAATGTTTTACAACACATTCACAATTAAATCGCCACAAAAATAGTGTTCATTTGAATATAAGATTTGTTTGTGGTTTCAATGGCTGTAAACAAAGTTTTGACTCAAAGACATATTTATATCGACACAAAAGTTGTGTTCATTTGAACGAAAAGCCATTCAAATGTAATGAAGAAAATTGTGGCCAAAGTTTTGGTGTTATATCACATCTCAATCGACATAAAAGTACACATTCGGGAGAAAAACTATTCAAATGTGATTTCACTGATTGTAATATAAGTTTTGCGCAAAAATATAATTTATTTCAACACAAAAAATGCGTTCATTTGAATGAAAAGCCATTTAAATGTAATGAAGAAAATTGTGGCCAAAGTTTTGGTCACAAATCAACTCTCATTCAACACAAACGCAGACATTCGGGAGAAAAACCAGTGAAATGTCATTTCAACGGTTGTAACGAAAGTTTTACAACAAATGTACAATTAAAACGACACATAAATAGTTTTCATTTGAATATAAGATTTGTTTGTGATTTCAATGGCTGTAAACAAAGTTTTAAATTAAATCACAGTTTAATTCGACACAAAAAAGACATCCATTTAAAGGAAAAGCCATTCAATTGCGATGAAGAAAATTGTGGTAAAAAATTTACACGAAAAGAGAATCTCGTTCAACACAAACGCATCCATTCGGGAGAAAAACCATTTAACTGTAATTTCACTGATTGTCGAAAAAGTTTTAGACAAAAAAGTGATTTATTTCAACACAAAAAACGTATTCATTTGACAGATAAATAACTTTCAAAATTGTTATTTTTAATTTTAATTACAAAATGCATTAATTATTTTGTAATTAATATTTGAGTCCAATATTTTACAAAACAATTATATTATAATTTATATAATTAGAGGGCATTAATAGTTCATAAAAACAAATCAATGTTCACTAACATAAGCCCTTTTAATTCGTGTATTGTTCACAAACTGTGTCTTAAATTATGTTTTATAAAGTGATGACAACTCTTCAGACACCGACTCTCCGGACAGTTAGACTCTTAACCACTCAATGGTTGCGAAGACTTCAAACAAACTGTTCCCAAGAATTTCACGTTTAATTCATTGACTTTATTCTTATAATTATTTCATTTGTAATTGATTTCAATTTCTGACAAATAATACAAATGTTATAAAATGGCTTTAATTTTGCATTTTTATGCCATTTATAAACTTAATTATTTTTATATTTATTTACTGATTATAAATGATTATAATTTTTGACTCAACTACTAATTTGTGATTTAATTATTTAATTCAATTGTTTTGATTCAATACTTTGTAAAATTTCATAATTATCTAAACTTTTATTGATTACTATTTAATAAATTATAAATTTGTCAAAATTTTTATTCAATAATTTAATGTTTGAAAAGTGATTTGATTTGTGTTATTAATAATAAAAGTTTTATTTGAGTTATAATTAGTGTTACAAATAGTGTCCAAAAGAGGGCGACATTTGTTTCATTACTATTGAACACATGTTTGGTTTTTGTTGTGAAAAATTATAACAAATAAACATTTCATTTGATTTACTATTGATTTGACATAATTATTATTTAATTAAATGTTTTAATTATTATTAATATTTAGTGCTTTATAAAAGTGTATGAAATCTATGGAAACGTGTTTTAAATACTGTATTCTTTGAAAACGTATTGTAAAATAATATTGTGTTTCAATTGAGACTAAAACACGTGTTTTAAATGCAAGTATTAGTTATTGAGTTAATTATAATTGTATCACAATTTATACCATATATTAACATAATATCCATTTTTATTATAGCACTAGAAGTTAACTATTGTCTCATCAGAAGTGGAAGAATAACCACAAGAAGTGATTGAGTGTTGAATACAAACAACAATTGATTGAATAATAATGAATGAAATGAAGAGAAGAAGAGTTGGTCTCAGAAGTGACACAAAAAGGAGACAATCGATTGACAAATTCGGTGATGATTTGTGTCAACTATTGTTGTCTTATCTGTCACTCGAAGAGCGGTTCCGATACGAAGAGGTGTCCAAACAGTGGCAGAGAGTTATATATGAGACACAAACTGTGTTTATATTAGACAAGGAATTGGGAAGAAAACTGAACCGCAAATCAATTAAATTAATACATAAAAAGTGTAAAAATATTGACACAATTTGGACCAAAGATATACATTATATGGTCTTAAGTACTGTAACTAATCGGAAAGTATTTGAAACATGGATTAAAGAGTCGACAGAATTTAAGACAATATTAACAATATTTTTCTCACTGTTTGGCAAACAATTGAAATGCATCTCAATCTCCAGCCGTAGGCTTTCCAACACAGCATTTGTTACAAAGCATTTTCATTTGTGTCCAAATGTGAACACTTTGACAATTGACCGCTTTATCGATTCATTGTCTGTATTGAGTGGTAATGCAAACGAGTGTTTGTTTAACAAATTACACAAATTTAGTATTAATTTCAAAGATAAAGAAATTGCTATTTTCCACACATTTTGTCACAACAATAGCCGCACTTTGAGATCAATTTCAATAGGC